TTTGATACACATATAATTTAATAGGGTAGTATTTTTTATTTTCAAATTTAGTGGATAACAATTGTAAAAAATGAGTGAAAACAATCCCACGGACAACGTGACAGATTTAAGGTAATGTCAAGGTACGTCTCTTGTGAATATCAATTGATTGTTAGGTTTTCTCTTTTGAGATTACCTTATGACTCATTCACATACATTATTAATACAAATACATTTTCCATGGCGAGACGATGAGGCAACCACAAGCACTTCCACTGGTTCAAGAGGTCCACGAGGGAAAAATGCACAATATTACCGTTATTACAGAGCACGGAAGCAAGCGGAGCAGGAAAAAGGGTCGTTGAATAGAACTTGTGATCCGTCTACGACTGCTGATTCTTCTACAATTAACGTCGCAGGTTATGAAGTTTAACTTCTTCCGCGCGGAGGGACTCCACGCACTATTTTTTTCGTTAAAGATGAATGTGGAGAGCGTGTAAAAGCGATTTTGTACTTCTAAAGTAGTTTGAAACCAAGTTTTTCAATTTATTTATAGTAAGGCTCTATAAAACTAAGGATAGTTAGATATTATTACCTTTTGTAGGTGGATTAAGGAAATCTAATTACTCCATATATGAGGAAAGGCTTCTAAACAATTCATAATTAATGTCTTGAATTATCCTGAAAAATATCTAGATCCTGAAGAAAACTTTATTCTCAGCTTTTCAGGATTAAATCATACAAATTAGCTGAACTATAGTGGGAAATTCAAAGTGATTAATTTGGTTAGTGTTTTTTAAAAGTATGGTTCATGGTGCGCATCATTTTCACCATGTAATTTTAATTTATATCTATTATTTTCGTTGTAATTTACGTACGTTTCTAAGAAATTAACTCTAAATATCTTAAAATGAATTCATTGTTGATTCATTACACTGGTATTTGATGTAGTTTTACTTTTTGTCAATGTGTTTTTAATGACGAACATTTTAATGGTCAAAACAGCAAAACAAAAATAAAAAACTCAAAATAGTGACAAACTGTGTAGTACCCTAATACTAGAAAGTGGTAAAAGGTTGAATATATTCTCATATTGACCACCTGAGTTGCTTGAGTAAATGGGGAAGAGAAGCTTAAATATTACTGTACATACAAATTAGGCAATGTAACCTATGTGTTGTTTTAGACTGACTCAAATGAGACGGAAATGGAGGCTAAAGCTCATAAATTACAAGGGTTTCATGTATAAAAAGTACTATTTTTGATTTGTTAATTTTTACGCTCTTGACATTGCTATCTCGTAGTTCCCAATACAAGTTTAGTATTGTTTCTTTCATGTGTTTTCTTTCTCTTTTACAATAACTTGAATGAAGGTTATTTCAATTATTACTTTATACTTCCAGGTATAGCTTAAATTTTTAAATAAACAGTCAAGTATGAGATATGAAAACAAAGCTTTTAACAAATTTCAGAAATTATATGTGCGTTACAATATCTTTTAGATTGTATATTTTGCATTCTATTATTATGTAAAAGTATATTTAATTCTACAAATAAGTATCATAAGTGAAATGTCTTTTAACATTCTCGTTAAAATATTGATTGTGAATAATATAACCTTTATAAATATAACCTTTTCAACTATGTCGTTTAAACTTCATTTTTTTTCCAATTTATCTATCATTTCGAAATGCAGTTCTCTTCCAAAATAGCATTATTGATATTTTTGTGAAATTCAAAATAAATTTCCATAAATAATAGTGCATTTGTAATTATTTTTCCAATAAACCAAATACCATTTCATCGTTTTTGTTACACAAGCTTTGAATAAATTCCAATACATGATTCGGGTTGCGATGTATTATTTCATTCGTTTCTATGGTTACTCTAACGTCAAGAAAAGATTCATTTGCAATTCATATCAAATAATGCATTACTTGGTTTAAGAAATAAGAATATTTTTCTTTTACTTTCCCATTTTGAACAACAACCCAAATTTTGTATCAAATTGATTAAAATTTGTTTGATATTGTAACTTTAAAAATGGAGTTCTTGGAGATTTTTTTAAAATAGTTATTTACTTTTATTAGCTTTTTTCCTTAAATATCTGATTTGAAAAAATTTTTGTAGAAGAAAAAAAGTGAAATGATTTTTTACATCGTTACTTCGTTTCATTGCAATCTACATCGTTATTTCGTTTCATTGTTCATATATTTTCATTTTAAATTCAAAACAATTGTCTAATTTGTATAACCTTAACTAAAAAATAAAAATAATGAGAGATAAATAAATTAATTGAATCTAAAAAGGGTTACATTAAGTTTAAAAAATGCTGAAAATAATATTCAAAAATAAAAGGAATACCTTTTATTTCACCTAATTCAACAAAGCACTTATAATTTGAAGAAATAAAGGAAACCCTTTAAAGTTTCAAAATTAATTTGATTAACGTAACAAAGAGTTAAATTCTCCTATTTCTGATATTATTTTTAAGTAGATAAAATTAGCAAAACAATACTGTTCGCTTTTGATAACTTTTGGCCTAGTAGTACAATTTAAAATTTTAGAAATATGTCTTACTAAATTTATCTATCCTTGAATATTCATTTTTGGTTTACATTTATAACACAAGAATACAAATTCGGTGCCGTCAAAATTATATTTTCTCCCGTTGATTTCAAATTGTTTAAAAAAAATTTAAACATTTAGTTAAATTTTTTTGTCGGTGAAATTCCTGTGGTAGCTTAGGGATCTTATATAATAGTAAGGAGAGAGAGAAATAAAACCCCAACAAATGTTGATTGATAATATCTATTAATTTATTTATTTTTTGTGGATAAGAGTGTAAAGCAAGAATGATTAAGACTATTAAAGAATCAATCCTGCTTCATTGTTATGAAGACCACCAATGGAACAGAATAAAAAGAAAAATTGCACTCCTCTCCTCTGGTGTTCTTCTGGTGTTCCTGTGGAGTTCTTTTCAGGACGTCAGAGAAGCCCCGAAGGAGGTTGCTATAGCGGATATTTACCATTCCTATGGAACACCCTGCAAAAAAAGATGGGAGTTGTTCAAACTTCCATTGATGATTTATGAATTTCTCCGCAGGAGCTCCGACCGCAGAAACTTTGGTAAATAGGAAGTAGCCTATATGAGCTCAAATAAATCAAGTTAATCATAAAAGTATTGCAAAATAATATTTTACAAAAATATATCAAATATTTATGTATTTACGAAGATGAGATTTACATATTGTGAATGACTAATAGTGCTCATGGAAATGTACTTGTGCTAACTGAATCTACTGCACTGCGTGCAATACTATGACTGGTCCAAGGTACAATAAGCATAATTTTTTTTTTGGGGATTAACGATAATTTTTGAGTTAACAAATTTCAGAATTTCAGAATGGTGTGCAAAAATTTTGAAATCTTGCAACTATTTTGATAGGTTTATTCAGAAAATGAGCAATTCGTCGTTCAAAATGTATGATGCATAGTTCTTTCACCGAAAAAAAAGAGAAAAAAGAAGAAAAAATGAGATATACCAGCAAGAACTAATATCAAGCATAGTATATACAAATAAAACTGAGCAATAGAAAAAGGGAATGAGTCAAGGATTTAAACAAAAGTTTCCTAGCGTTCCAAAAGTGGGAGTAAATAGATTCTCTCTTCATTGCTGCATAGAGGTGATCTGCAATCTTTACCAGCACAGGGCTGTTGACGTCATTAAAGGTGAGTATAAAGGCAATCGTGCATGGTCCTCATTCGCAAAGCAGCAACCACCCGATACCTGGGATAATTCCTGAGATCAAAGGTTGTTTCTCGGAGTTTTTCTCCCTACTTGGATAGATGTAAATCTCTTTTGCCAAACAAATCCTTTGTTGGACTTTGTTGAGAGTAAATTAGACTGAAAGTCACATAGAACAAACTGAAAACTTAACTTTTATTTGCATCAAAAAGAATATAAAAACAATAAGATGTTGCCAGCACAGGAAACTCAAAACTATCTAACTAATCTCGAACTCAACCTCAACATCCTCCCCACCCTAGTCGACCTCGAGGGGGATAACCAGAGCTACCGGACGGGTTATATTGTGACCATTAACTCTCAGCTCACAGGATCTTATTTTTCCATCTCGTCCTTCATGCAAGTTCACCACTCTAGCTTTCTTCCACATGTGCCGTGGTCGGACATCTTCTTGTAGAAGTACAATATCGGCAATTCGAACGTTAATGATACTGTCCTGATTACGAACTTGATGAAATGACCGCAATTGAAGCAAATATTCCTTGGACCATTTTTTCCAAAAGCAGTCGAGTAAGTCCTGCTGCTGCTTGTAGATCTTTCATAGCTTTGTGTTGTTATTTGGGCTGGATGGAATGGCCGTTAGTTTTCGTCCTGTCAAGAAATGGCTTGGTGTTAAGGCTGTGGAACTGTCATCTTTTCCATCTTTGTATACCAATGGTCGGCTGTTCAGAGTGGCTTCTATTCCAATGAAGACCGTGAACAGACCTTCCTCGTCAAGAAGTGCTCGTCCGAGTACCTTTCGTAGACATCGCTTGACAACTCCTATTAGACGTTCCCACCAGCCTCCCCACAAAGCCGATCGTGGGGCGATAAATTTCCAAGTTATGCCATTTTGGGCATAATATTGCTGAGTTTTAGCTGATGACAGAACTTGCCATAATAGAATCAAGTCCTTATTTGCTGCATGAAATGTGGTAGCATTGTCGGTATAGATTGTGTGTGGGAGTCCTCTGCGGCCAACAAAGCGTTGTAGTGCCAAAAGAAATTTGTCTGTTGGAAGATCCGACACAAGTTCGATGTGTAATGCGCGTGTTGTTGCACAAGTACATAGTGTTATGTAGGCTGTGTCTCTTGATTTCAAACATCGAATATTCACAGGTCCAGCAAAATCAATTCCTGTGGTAGTAAATGGAGAAGAAGGTACAAGTCTTTCAGGAGGTAAAGGTGCTTCGATTTGTTTTCCGTATTTCGCTTTGGACAGCTTGCAAGGTAGGCATTTGTGAATAACTTGCTTTATAGCTTGACGTCCTCTTAAAATCCAGAAGGTTGAACGTAACTCGGACAGGAATATACACACACCTAAATGGTGAAGTCGTATATGGGTATGCTGGATCAAAAGGTGGACAAAATAGTGTTTACCATCGAGCAATAAAGGGTGTCGAGTATCAGAAGAAATGTTTGAAAATTGCAGCCTTCCCCCAAGGCGCAAATAATTATCTTCGAGAAAGGGATTGAAACAGGAAATTTTGGATTTTTTCGGCAGGGGAAGTTCAGCTTTTAAGGCATTTATTTCAGCTGAGAAACATTGATTCTGTACAGTTTGTATCCAATAGTTCTTAGCTTTCTCTATTTCATTACAATTCAGTTCATGAGTTATGTGTTGCTGAGTCTTACAGTTGTATACAAAACGTAGAATCCAGGCAGTGACACGAAGAAGTTTCGTGTAAGAACTATAACGAGATATGTCTATGATGGGTTCGGCAGTTGCAACGTAGGAGGATTGAAATTTGGTTTTTCGTGATTCAGCTTCAACTAAAGGCTGTGTACGTTTGGATAAAACTTTGATAGGCCAAGTTTCTGGATCATTTTTTAGCCATTTCGGGCCGTGCCACCAAGATTCTAAAATCGATAAATGTGATGGAAAGGTACCACGTGTAAGATGATCCGCAGGGTTATCTATACCGGGACAGTGGCGCCATTGTGCTGAAGTAGTGTTTTATTTTATTTTGTAACCGTCGTTGAACAGCCGGCCCAATTTCATGGGTTTACGACTGCTTAAGTTCAACTCCGTAGCCTTGTAATTTTGAACCAATCCAGAAGACAAGGAAACTACTGGATCAGTACCCCCAGAGGTATTGATTTGTTGTGGGAACATGGAGGACTTTGAGACTCGACAGATTTAACGTGCATCAGTCACCATTTACTACACGGGGAGTCTTCGGCCGGCGAGGATCGAACCCACGACCTCTTGGATATGGGCCCAGCGCCCTACCGACCAGGCTATCCCGGCCCGAAGTAGTGTTTTAAAGAATTTCTGTTGTTCTGTTGCAGACAAATGTTTTCCAAAGGTTGGGATTTCTCTTTATCCAACTTAAAGCTACAGTAGAATCGCTCCATAGTATGGCAGTGTGGGAATTCATGTTCGTTTCCCTGCAAAAATACTGGAGTAGGCGAGCTCCTAGTAGTGCAGCTAACAATTCAAGCCTCGAAAGAGTGACCCTTTTGATTGGGGCTAGTTTATTTCAACTGCAAATGAGATGGATCTCAGTAGAAATATCATCAGCGTGACGAGCGTACAAGCAAGCACCATATGCACGTTCCGAAGAGTCACAAAACACATGTATGGTAACGTCGGAATTTTCGGAAAAGCCAATCCATCTTGGGATGCATATTTCATTCAGATAGTGTAATTCATTTATCCACTTGTGCAACTGCTGTGCTACAGATGGAGGTAATAGTTCATCCCACTGAATACCACTAAGCCATGTATCTTGAAACAATATCTTCACAACTACTGTAACTGGGGCAAACAAGCCTAGAGGATCGTAAAACTTTGACATCAACTTCAGTAGTAAGCGTTTTGTTACTGGTTCTTTACATGCTTGAACAATTTTTGTCTGCACATCAATTTGAAAAACATCACTGTTAGTATCCCACTTAACACCCAAGACCTGCGTAATATCCTTAAACAAGATGTTTTCTTGTTTCCACATATCTTTCAAAATCTTAGAATTTGTAGTCCATTTGTCTAATGGTAGGCTAATAAGTGATGTAAGTTGCTGCAGTTCTTGGTAAAGAATCAGAGCTTCAGTATCCATAGACGTTCCCGTTACAGAATCATCCGTATAGGTGTTATTCTCAACGTGTCTAGTTGCTGTAGGATATGCTTGTTTGTGTTTTGCAGCCAATTCACGAATAGAAGCTGCTAATAAAAATGGATTAGAGACGAGTCCAAATGGAAGACGTGTGAATCGGTAAGTTACAATGTTATCTTCAGCGCAGAGTTTCCCATCAGGAGGAGTATATGTAGTATTGTACCAAATAAATCGTGTTGCATCTCTGTCTTCTTCTGCTAGAATCAGCTGCAGAAATGCTTGTCGCCCATCACTAGTGATTGCTATTTTAGAAAGTCGAAATCTCAACAATGTGGCTAAGATATCAGGAAGAAGATTTGGTCCTACTTCAAGAGCGTCGTTCAAAGATGGGTGACCTGGAGAATGTGAAGATGCATCAAAAACTATACGCCACTTAGTTTCTTCATTTGTGATTTTCTTTACAGCTTGATGGAGCAAGTAATATAAACGTTCCTCATTATGTGTTTCTGAGACAACTTCAACGTGTTTTATATCAATGTAATCTTGCATGTGCTCAATATATTTTTATATGAATTCTGAATTTGCATGCATTTTCCTTGTTAAAGATTTAAATCGTTGAATTGCGACTTCATAATTGTTCGACGAAAGTGGAACTTCTGGTTTCCAAGGCAATTTTACAACTCTTCTACCATCGATGATTTCAAAAGATTGATGAAATTTCGTCAAGAGCCCTGAGTTGTGAGGACTTATTTTTTCTTGTGTTGGTTGTATGCCAATGCTCTCTAAAATTCCAGAAATTTCGTACCACATTATCTAATTCCTGAGTTAAAGTATCCACATCAACATTATGAACCGTTGAAATGAAGGAAACTGTTGCGTGTGATCGAGTTCCACTAAGTACCCAACCAAAACTTGATGGGACCAAGGCCAGAGAATCCGACAACCTGACTGGAGCTTCAGAATTCATAACAATCCAGTAAAAATCTGCACCGATTAAAATCTCAATTGGTAAGTTCGACAATGAATCATCTGGATCAGCAAGTTTCATTCGCTTGTTTTTAGCAAAGAGTGAAACATCCGTTGATGAAGGTAGGTGTAATGCATATTTGTTGGATCTTTCTAATGCAGTAGCATTAACTTTAGATTTGTCCCAGATACTTGATAACTGAAATTTGACTTGTCTTCGCTAGTAGTCAACATTAGCTGGGGATTCGAAGGTTTTAATGTCCAAATGTCTGGTTGAAATGACTGGAAGTTTTAAAGTATCCACAAGATTGGAAGAAACGAAACTAGATTGACTTCCACCATCCAAAAGACAACGTGTCAGTTTTGTAATGCCAGTGGGCCCAGTTATGAAAACTCGTGCAGTTTGCAAATGAACGAAACTAGAAGACGATGCATCAATTTTGTTTGTAGATGTAGCCACATGCTGCTTATTGGTTAGAGGTTTGCATATTGATGTATGGTGTTTTCTCTTGCATTTGGAACAGCCAAATTTTTCTCTATGGGGGCAATTATTTTTGGTATGTCCTCGGTTAGTGCACAAAAAACATTTATTACTAGTCTTCAATTTCTGTATGCGCACGTCTATGTCCGTTACAACATTGCACTGTTGAGGCCAATGTCCGGCAGTTTCACAGAAAGGACAAAAGGGTGACATTATTTTACTTTTGGTAACTGAATTAGAATTCACATTAAAATTTTCTAAGGAGGATTTAACAGGATAGTCTGGAGCTAGTGAACCTTTAATATTACTTGCAGTAATTGCTCCCTCGACCTCTTCTCACAAAAATTTCATTAATTTTGAAATATCGCTTTCACCAAAATTTTCACGTTTGGCATGTACAATCCAATTTCGACAGATTTCATGCGGAAAAGCACGAAGTATTTTAGGAGCAAAACTTCTTCCGTATGATTTAGTTCTTTCTCCTAAAGCACCTAAAGCCTGTATTCTTCGATTACAATCAATATATAACTCATTTATTGCTGCTGGAGAGTGATTTTTGACAGGTTTTAGATTTTCTAAATAATCGAGATGAGCCTGCATTATTTTATCTTTATCGCCATATTTCGATTTCAAAATATCCTTTGCTGTTGCATATGTCTCTGCAGTTATATTAATTCCATCAACTATTCGTTTTGCTTCTCCACCTAAATATCCCCGCAAAAAAACATGCTTGTCAATCGGCGATAAACTTTCGTTTTTGTCGATACAGTTTTCAAAACGCTCCCAAAAACTATGGAATTCTTCAATTTCGCCGTAAAACGTATTTATTTTTACTGTAGGCAACTTTACTGTAACATTTGAAGGCGAAGCTGAAAAATTAGTTATATTGGCAGCTGTTGGCGAACGCTCCCAAAAGCTATGGAATTCTTCAATTTCGCCGTAAAACGTATTTATTTTTACTGTAGGCAGCTTTACTGTAACATTTGAAGGCGAAGCTGAAAAATTATTTATATTGGCAGCTGTTGGCGATGTTTCAGAAATTGAATTCGTATTCCGATTCGCTGTTCTTTTGAAATTAAATAACGCCAAATGAGCATATTCTGTGTATCTTTCGCATTCTATAATGTCTTCCTCATATTCTTCATCATTTAAAAAATTATGTATTTCATCGTCTGCCAAGGTTAATTCTTTTATTTTATCTTGTAAACGTTCAATGTTGTATTCCTTTTCAGTTTGTGTACTAGCAGCATCGTTCAATTTCGTCGTTAGTTTCGAAATGGCGGTACGTAGCGTTGTTCGTTTGCGTTTAAATATTACAAGTTTTTCACTACCGGTAGCCATTCCAATTCAGATTTATGACGAAAGTAATTAAAACAAGTTCAGTATGACTTACCGAGCTATTTCGGCACCAAATGTTGGACTTTGTTGAGAGTAAATTAGACTGAAAGTCACATAGAACAAACTGAAAACTTAACTTTTATTTACATCAAAAAGAATATAAAAACAATAAGATGTTGCCAGCACAGAAAACTCAAAACTATCTAACTAATCTCGAACTCAACCTCAACATCCTTGAAGCAACAAATATATTCGCATACTTCCTCAAAAGGTTTTTTTTTTTTTTACTTCTAAGCTATCTCATTTTCTAAGATTCCGCGGTGGGACGGAATTAATGGAATGCAATTCTTTGACTTTTCCCGATCACCATCCACTTATTTTCCTCGATAGATAAAAGATAATCTTCTAAAAATATAAAATCGAATGATCAGATCTAAAGTCATGATCTCTAGTTATACCTCTCACGAGAAAATCTTGAAACAATATTTTCTTAGATCATTTTGTCCTAAGAGCAGTTATAAGCTTTCATTTTGAGATTGCCTGATTTTCATAATGTTTATGTCTAAAGAAAAGAAATATAAACTGTATATAAACCCCCAAACACATTTTTCCCCTCTCTTTTTTTTATTTGCATCGATTAATAATTTTTTACATGTTTTACTTTTATTCTTTTTACTAATGATTGTACGTAGTATTTCATGACGGAAATGTTCTACTGGACTTTAAATTCGGAATAGACAGAAACTTTCACAAATACTTTTGCTTAAATTATTTGCTTAGAAAAAATGAAATAATTATATTTAAAATCTTTTTGTATTATTGTTATGTGTAAGTTATTACGAAATGCCTGACACTGATAGAAATTAAATTTCTTTCAAAAGTCGTGGGCGTCAAAAGTAGGGGGCTACACACCTTTCCAGGTGCAGAATCGGGCGTGTTCAATTCTTTATTTCAATTATTTATTTATTTTATTTAATTCTTTTTAAATATTTTTATTACATTTATTTTATGCTATTTATTGTTTTTATTTATTTTTTATTTTATTTTTTTTATTTCATTTTATTTATTTTATGTTATTTATTTTATTTTTTTTATTTATTTATTTTTTATTTATTTATTTTTTATTTATTTATTTTTTATTTATTTATTTACTTATTTAATTTAATTTATTTTTTACTTTCTTAGGAGTTACTTTCTTAGGATTACTTAGGAGTAGTCTTTGGAGCCGCTATAGCTAGCTGTCATTGTGAAGAACTTGCATTCTATTACAAATGTTGGCTAAAAGTTCACCCAGCTTCAGAACGATGAATACTAACCTGTATGTGAAGTAAATGCAGTCGGTGCGCAATGCTGCACCCATTTCTACCATCATGAGCATTGGTCACGAAACTGTTAACCTCCATGACCCCCTGGCCCTCAACACGCTGTTGCGGAAATGCTTTACTTCACTTTATATGTTTTTGAGTTATTTAGGAACTATTTGTCAGTGGTCACAAAATGCATAACATATTTGAGTTTAATCCTTACAACAAATGCTTTTTTTTCTGAAAATATTGCATTAGAGTAGGTGCGAATTTTTGGTATATTTTTCGATAAAGATGTGTTATAATATATATGATTAACTACGGTGGGCTTTCATCGATGATCGTGCATCTAAAGGACTTTTAAATTATAAAATTTAATATGTTTAGCAGAATCAATGTAGTCCTAATTTTTTAAATTTCAGAAAAGTTTGAAAAATCTAATGAAAAGAAAGGAAATAAGTTATAGATAAACAAATCAAAAAGTACTTTTAGTAGCATGTTTGTAAGTTAAATAAACATCAAATACTGAAAAGCAGCCTAAACTTATCTGACACATGCTTCACAATATTTGAGATAATTGATACTTTTAGCATCAGGTTCTTGCAAAATTATACGTCCAAAGCTTCCCCATTCACTAAATAATATTGTAAATATGTGTTGCCCACATTGCTCTATTCCTAATTATTCAGCATGAGTTGTTTACGAGTGTCACCAAGTGCAGTTAAATCAGTCAACGTCAGCTCAATTATACTTGTTAGTGAGATTAATAACATATTTCTGTTGTAGTTGGTGTCTTCAGTCTTATTAATGCTGAAATGAAGTAGCTCTAGACACGATATTCCATTATGTAATATTTTAAGTAACATGGAATATTTCCATGCAAAATTGCAAATTATAAGATTACAAATACCAAAAAAGAAATAAATACTTTAGTAATTTATTTACTCAAGAGGAAATTTAAAATGTTTTTCTTTTGACAAAATATTGACATCTGGAAATTTAAGATTAGTTTTTACACGCTAAGGGCCATATTTTTAAGGAAATCTCTGTCAGCGAGCTACTTATAAGTGCTGGTATTGTGGTATAGCAATGCTCTAGAAACATATTGAAATAATTGAAAATTAAGTAAATTTTAAATAAGTTTTATAGAACATTGATGGCTCAGAGGATAGTGCGATCGCCTTCCAATGAGGTGAACCGGGTTTATCTCCCAGTGATGGCTGGTTGATACGAATTCCGCACCCGACTCGCACCGAACACAGTGCTGATGTTAAATTTCCTCAGTGAAGATGTATCAGGGGTTGGAGTCCCCTTTGCAGTCAAGCTAACCGATGGAGGTTTTCGTGGTTTTCCTATCTATGTAACACAAATGCGGGTTAGTTCCATAAAAAAATCCGCCACGATGGCAAATTTCTCCCAATGATTGATCCATGAGCTACCTTATCATCTGGATTGGCTTC